GGGTTTAGGGTTTAAGGTCTAGGATTTAGGGTCTTGGGGTTTAGGGGTTGAGGGTTTAGGGTTTACAAGGAGACCTATGGTCATGGTCGGAATAAGGAAGGGTTTAGTGTTTAGTATTTAGAGTTTAGGGTTTAAGGGTTTAGGGTTTAGGGCTTTGGGTTTAGATAATATTGGCGTGACTGTTGGTAGTGATTCAGGCACCTCTTTTCATCTAGTGAATAAACAAATAAGGCCCCTATCTCTGAACCCTAAGTGCTCTGCACGCCTACTTAAGTCCCAAAGCCCTCTAATCTAAGAGAGGGGTCACTTCTGACTTCACCTTCCAGTTATCTAAGGGCTTTAGGAGGGACCCTTAATAGGTACCCTTGTAGGTTATTGGGGTTAATATGGAGACTACCTGGCTATATAACGGGTATATAAAGACTATACAATGGTTATTTGAGGTAATGGGACTAAGGGTCACTATTAGGGGTCCCTCCTAAAGTCCTTAGAAGCTAGCACGGCCCATGCTATGACCCTGAGCGCTCCTCAATGCCTCCCTCCAGCCGCGGCAAGTCGGCACAGTACTCGAACCATCTTCCTGGATGACGGCAGTCCTGCTCCATGGTTTAGGGCAAGTTTAGGGTTTAGGGTTTAGGGGTTTAGACTTGAGGGGCTTTAGGGTTTAGAGTTTAGGGCTTAGGGTTTAGAGTTTAGGGTTTAGGGTTTAGAGTTTAGGGTTTAGAGTTTAGGGTTTAGGGTTCAGGGTTTAGACTTGAGGGGCTTTAGGGTTTGAGGTTCGTTTTGTGCTTTTCAGGATCCTTTGCTCCCAACCCAAACAGACCCCTCTACCAGGAGAGGCCGCACCCCTCATAAGATAGGCAGCCCTAATCTTTGGTTTGGGGTTTACAGAGCTGTAACAACTAGGTAGTATTATTAGGGGTACCCCTTCAAGGAAACCCCTTCTGAACCCTACTTGTGGCTCTCTTAAAAGGGACCTTATTGAGAGGGTCTATATCCCCAACATTTCCCCTAATCCCAGCTCCCAACAACACCAAACCCTGCACTGCGTGACCGTCTTAGCTCTTTGACCCTAAGCTGACGGAAACCCCGTGGGCACGGATCCTCGCTTCCCAAGTAGCCCCTTGACAAGCGTATTCCTTTTCTACTGCTACCAAGAGGGTCCATCTATACTACTATTATGGAATTGGGTCCCCAAAACCATAATGGGGATGGTGTTTTCGGGCCTAATTCCATAATGGTAGTGTATGGACCCTCTGGGCTACCAGGCAATTCAAAAGGCGACCCAAAACGTTACCACTGGTGGATGAGGAAGCCCCCAGAGGGACCCCTACAAAAGAGAAACCCGATGCCAAGACGCCCTTTCATGACACCCTAAAAAACCTATAAAGACAGAACTCAAAACACATATGGGAGACCCAAAGTACTCCTTGCATAAATCTGTAATAACAAAAACCAAACCCTAAACCCTAAACCCTAAACCCTTAACGCTGAAGCAAAAACATACCTCAAGATCCAGTCACGTCTCCTCTAGGCTACCGAACATGTACTGCAGATCTCGGACTTCTGGTCGAGGGCCCTCGACGTTCACGCCCAGGATCCTTGAAAGGTGGCTTTCGGGTTTGGGTTTAGGGTTTAGGGTTTAGGGTTTAGGGTTTAGGCTTTAGGGTCTAGGGTTTAGGGTTTAGGGGCTTTCGGGTTCTGAACTGTGGTTCTTAGCACAACGAGTACTATCTGTAAGCTTTTGGGGTATGATGTCGTAAAGCTGTGTCCTGAACAGTAAACCTTAATCGGCTATAGCCTAGGGGATAGTCTTCTCCGTAATCTATCAGAACATCAGGGTTAAGGCCTGTGGGCTGACAACAAGGGAAAGTCACTAAGTCACGGGATTTTAGGGTCTTGGGCTTGGGGCTCATGGTTAACGGTGTATGTAGAGATTCAGGGTTTCGAGTTTTGTTTTAAATCCCTGTTGAAGGGGCCCTTCACCCCAAAGGTAGATGCCCTAAACTTCGAAGCCAGATCCGAAAGAAGCCTCTAATTCGGTTACATAGAGTTGGAATATGCACATTGAGCTTGCTACGACAGCTTTCTCTCTTTTCTGGGTTGGGGGTTGTGATGATGATGATGATGATGATGAACCCAGACGGTCCAAAGATACCACCATTATGGAAATAGGGCCCAAAGGACCCTTCTCGTCATAGTTATGGGGGGCCTAATTCCATAATGGTAGTATAGATGGACCCTCTTGGGATGATACTCCAGACTTCTAGATTCTGGCGAAAAGCGAGTTTAGGGTTTAGGGTTTAGGGTTTAGGGTTTAGGGAGCCCTAAACCCTGACGCCCTGAAGGCCTGCATCCTTACAGAACCCTTCCACGGAATCTCAAGGGAACCCTTATTCTCCGAAACCCCAACACCAGAATCCGAATTCCTGTAGCAGTAAAGCCCCCAAAAACTAAAGTATCCTAAACCTGATGATGGGGGCTGCACCAAGTAGAATGGAGTATTGGGGTGTCTTATGGTAGAACTACCAAGGAACTACAAGGGACCACTTCTAATGAACTCCTCGAAGCCCAAAATCCACAAAAGCCGCGGAAGAACCCCGAATAAAGCTCTCCTGTACCCCTTGCAAAGCCCAACAAAACCCAAAACCTAAGCTGGGCCTCAAACCTCAAAAACCCTAAACCTTCAAATGGCCGTACAGCGGCTGATGGCCGCGGATCACCACATAGCTCAGCTCCGACTCGTCACCTTCTAACCTTAGGCTTCGGCGCAACCCCAAACCCTAAACCCCAAACCCTAAACCCTAAAACCCCAAACCCTAAACCCGAAACCCTAAAACCCCAAACCCTAACCCCTAAACAATAGAACCCTAAACCCCAAACCCAAAACCCTATACCCGAACCCTAAACCCTAGAACCCTAAACCACAAACCTTCGGCGGCATCTTCTGGACCAGAGTTGAAGACTTACATAGCTTATAGGGCTCATGGTTTAAGGTGTAGTGGTTTAGTGGCTAAGGGTTCACGGTTCAGGGTTTAGGGTTTTAGGGTTCGCGGTTTAAGGTTTAGTGGTTTTAAAGGGTTTGGGGTCTAGGGCTCAGGGTCTAAAGTCTGGGCTTTAGGGGTTTTGGGTCGGGGGGGCTTAGGATTTAGGGGTGCAGGTCTGAGGGGTTCGTGGTTTGGGGCTACCTTGAGGCCCAGGTGACTTCGTAAGTAGCTTATAAGTAGAATCACAACTACCCTTACATGGAGTTACCCCAGTTTAGCCGACTTACTAAGTCCCTAACCCTAAACCCTAAACCCTAAACCCTAAACCCTAAACCCTAAACCCTAAACCCTAAACCGTAAAGGGGTGCTGAGCTTTGGGGGGCTTTAGGGACTCTTGGTTGAAGGGATTCTGGAAGGTCCTTCGGGGATTAGGGCTTAGAGTTTTGTGCTAAAGGTTTAGGGTTTAGGGTTTAGTGTTAAAGGTGTAGGGTTTAGGGTTTAAGGTTTAGGGTCTAGGGTTTAGTGTTAAAGGTTTAGGGTTTAGGGTGTTATTTTGTTTCTTTCTTGCTGAATGGGCAGGGTCTGCTTGCGGTTTCGGAAGAAGTCGAAGGGTTTAGGGCTATGCCCGCAGCTCTATCTAAATGCCTAATTACCCAAACTACCCAAAGCCGCTTTAGGGGATTCATGAAACTGAGGGAAGGTCCGTACAGCAAGGATCCATGTATGGTGTTCAAACCGACGGCAAAATCAAAAAACAACTTGCGGCGTCGAACCCGTAATCTGAGCTCAACACCCTGGAACCACCAGGGTCTGAGAAAGGAGTCACATTGCAACCCCACCCCCTATAAACACGATAAGCCATATACACCCTAAACCCTCAACCCTAATTTAACCCTAACCCCTAAACCCTAAA